TAAAAACTAGGACTAAATTCTCTCTAAAAAACTAGGACTAAATTCTCTCTAAAAAACTAGGACTAAATTCTCTCTAAAAAACTCGTGTAGATAGACACCAGTTAATTGAACTTTCATTGAGCAAGTATTTTTTTTTATACGAAGATAAAATCCGAATTTTTTCTTATTCAGGTCCAATTGGTTTATTGTTGATGGTAGTCATAGCTGAAGCATTTTTGCAAATTATAGAAAAAAGGGCCAATAATATAGCTTTTGTTAATTCATTTCAACCAATCACTTATAAAAGATATGTGGATGATGAAGTCAAGCTCGCTTCAATTCGAAAGAAAAACAAGAATTGTTTCTTAAATCTTTAAATGAACAAAACCCCTCCATAAAATATACTGTTGAACTTAAAAACGAAAGAAAACAACCTAATTTTTTAGATACTTGTATTACAAATACAATGAACCGATTTTATGAGTTTCAATTACAGCGTAAGGATGCGATAACAAATGTTCACATAACACCAAACTCCAACATCAACTCAAACATCAACCACTGGCGTCTTTAAAGGAGTTTTATGCAGAGCAAAACAAATCTGCTCTCAAAAACATCTGTCATATGAAATTGATTTCCTCATACATACATTTTTTGAAAACGGCTATAACAAAAGTAATCTTATTAAAATAACCAAAAACGGCATCTCAAAAAGTGCTAAATCTAAACAATTAGATAAACAGTTAGTTAAACTACCTTGGATACCTATTATTGACTAAAACTCCGAAGAGAATATATATATATATATATATATATATATATATATATATATATATATGTATATATATATATATATATATATATATATATATATATATATATATATATATATACGTATACGTAGCTTATATATATATATACGTATACGTATATACGTATACGTATACGTAGCTTATATATATATATATATATATATATATATATATATATATATATATATATATATATATATATATATATATATATATATATATATATATATATATATATATATATATATATATATATATATATATATATATATATATATATATATATATATATATATACCAACGCACAGTGGGACGAAATCCCGATTTCGTAGCCAAAAGTCAATATTTTGAGTTTTATATTTTCGTTTTTTTACGTTCAGATCTTGTTTACAGATAGTTCTAGAACAAAATTTCGAACGGGGGTATATACATGCTCAAGGGTCGCAAATAGAATTTACAAATTGAATGAAAATAGAATATGATAAATTGATGGATATTATTAATTTTTTATTTTTGTTTTTTAGGTATTGGCAGGCTGTACTTAACAAATTACTTTCCTTCAACGCAATCAAAAGAACTTTCAACTACAAACCAATTAAAATAATTTTATAGCAGCATTTTTTTACAAGAACTTTCCTTTTATTTATTAATTAGATTACTTAAATTTCATAATTTCTTTAAATTATTTTTAAAGAGTTTTGGATTTTAATATTGGTGTTTTACAAAATTTTAAAAAATTATCTTACATATAGATTTTTAGTTTTTTAATAATTAATTTTTTTTTCAGAAGTACAATTATAACTTGAGTGTCCAATTTTTTTAATATTTTTTCTGCAAATATCAGTTTGATATTATGTTATCAATGTGAAAGTATAATCTCAAGATATAATTTAAAAAATGGTAGGATGAGGTACATAAACATACGTACTTCAGCGATGTGATCCGATCCGTTTTTATAAAACCTAAATTCTGCAAAACATTTAGCATCCGTCATTGAATCTATTTCAAAGTGATGGTACTTCTTATATGGAAAGTTATTGTTGGAATTTATACCATACAATAATAGAAATTCAAGAAATCATATTTTTTTAGAAAATATGGAAAATATTCGTTAAAAATTATTAATGTTCACATGAGTCAGCGGTTCGAAAAAGACTCAGTAGTTCAGTTTACGAAAAAGACTCAGTAATTGAGTTTACAAAAAAGTAGTTCAGTTTATGCAAATAGTAAACACCACAACAAAAGAAAAATTACAAGTTTTTTACCCAAAATATTTTACCCAAAGTTTTTTACTCAAAAAATTTTCAACAGCGATTCTCTGTGTCAAGATCTGATAATCTTCTTTGAACATTTTTAATTTTATTTAACAATTACTTGTAATTTTTCATTATGTATTTGTATCTTAAATATTGTAATAAAGAAATTTAAAAAAAAAAAAAATCAATTTTTTATGGCTTTAATAATTTATCTACACTTTATTTTAATCTATCTATCATCTTTTGTTGGCTAATAAAATTATGGAAAAAATACATATTTTAATATGTATTTTTTCCACAAATATTAATAGATGAGCATGATGATTTTAGTAATGATGTTACCTCTTCACCTAATGATTTAATAGAAATAACATTACAAGTTGGATTGCAAAAAGAATTGAAAAATGCAATATGTTCTATTCCAAATATATAAAACACACAAAATAGTTGCCAAATTGATAAATATATCTAACTGAAGAAAAATATCTTCTATTAGATTCATTCAAAAAACGGTCTACAATCCTAAACATTTTGCATCAATACCTTAATAACAACTCGTGGTATTTCACTTGCTAAAAGTTTTGTATCAAAGTTGAGATTTTCCAGAAGATTTGTAATGTAAATCTTCTGGAAAATCTTCTGGAAAACCATGTTAAGCTTGGTAGTATAGTTTGTTACATGTGAAGTGATAAACCATTCTTTTTTAAAGTAATTAAAAAAAAAAAAAACATGATTGAGGAAAGCATACTAGTATTAAATACTAACTTTACCTCACTTATGTCTATGACAGAGTTTTTAAATTCATAACAGCTTTACTTTCTTCAGACGTAGTAATTCTTAGAATGCTATCAAGAAGAAAAAAGAAAAAAGAATATCCTAAGAAAACTTTTATTAATTGAACTACCTTAAATATGAATTTTTCTTGCCTCCTTATTCTCAAATTCCGCAATTGCTATATCTAATTCTATTGTTTGTACTTTTTTGTTCTCTATTACCAAAAGTTTGTTTTGATTAACTTGAAATTGCTGAAGAATCTTTCTGCACTACCAACTATCACAGGTATTATCAATCTGAAAAATCGCACTCCATAAAACTGTATTTGACCATCAATATGTCGGCCTTACATTCTAGTTATTTCTGTGATAAGATTTTTAATTTATTTTTAAATTTTAGTTTTTAGATTTTAATTTGTAAATTTTAATTTTTAAACGAAATTCATTTACTTTTCTTTTATTTATTGATATCTAAATTACGCCAACGTTGCTAGGCGCAGCGCTAATGTATTAAAAAATAAAAAGCTTCTAAACACGCTGTAAGAATTTATTGGAAATGTGGATCGCTTCTCGCACACTAAAATTCTTTTTAATAAATTCAAAATACTCGACGTATTTTAACTTAATCTGTATCATATTCTTATATTTATGTTCAAAGTAGATAATAAAATGGCATCCATTTTATTTGACTCATTTTTTGAAAAAATAAATCATTAATAACCAACAAGATTTTTAAATAGCATTTATATTCAGCCCAGAACATATTATTCTGCGACTAAGTTCTCGATTACAATTAGAGGACCTAAATTATGGAACATGCTATTGGATAAAGAGTTAAAAAAAAATTTTTCCCTTGATCAATTTAAAAATAAAATAAAAAATAAACTTTTGATAATTTACTTCTTCTGAAACTTTTAAATAGGAGTGATCACTTGTGTTTTACTTATTATTTACTTTATTTTTGCTCATATTTATTTTTGATTTTAATCTAATTTAATTGTAACCTTTCTTTGATGGTCATGTTTTATGGCATTACTTATTTTTAAATTCGAAATCTTAATAAATAAAAGTTTGAAAAAAAATAAAATTATATATATATATATATATATATATATATATATATATAATTATTTTTATATTTGCATATATATATGTACTTTGTGCATATATTACATTGTGATAACCCCAGTCGTGTATATACATTTTATTTGAATCTAATTTTGTAAATTTTTTTTTTTCTGGGTAAATACATAATAATAATAGTAATAATAGTAATAGTAGCAATAATAACAATAATAACAATAATAATAAATATGATTGCATTAATTAATAAGATTGGAAAGTTTTTTAAAATCGTCTGGGTAACTTTGTCGTAACAATTGAGCTGATTCAATTAGTTCATCTTCCGGTAATTTTGTTAAGTTTTGAGGTTGCATAAAATTAAAAAGATTTGAAATTTTTTTTATTTCAGTAAATCTATCACTTATAATATTCATATAAATAATTTTCACTTAACTCATCAAAATGTCTTTTACGAGGCAACCCAAATGGTTGTCTCTCAAACTTGTTGATTTTATTTTCCACTAGTTTTATTTGCAAATAGAAATCGATCGATAGAAATCGCATTTAATTTAAATAAATCGTAATTCGATCTTAAATCTTTTAAGTTGAATACCAGTTTACCTAATAACGCTTAAATTTAAGGACTTTTTTTTAAGTTGAAGCATAACTTATATTTGTTAACATGTGATACAGAACTACGCAAATAAAAAACAAATTCAAAGTTTGGTATTTTGTCCTTTAGTTTCAGAGCTTTAGTTTGTTTTCTCTTCAAAAACTTTAACTACAGGGTGTACAACTAATTCTGACCCCTCTAGTAACCTTTTATAAATGACTGTAACTCAGATATTAGTTCATATTTTTTATTTATTTTTTCACAAAATCTTTAGAACAATGTTACTGATCAGTAGCGAGTTGTTCCATCATTTTTACCAGAACATTCCAAAATTCTGGCGCGAAAATTTTCAATAAATAAACAGCTTTCTTCCTGGGTGATGGAAGTTCATTCTTTTTGAACTCTTGTGATGAGTTGTTGGCGGTTTTGAGAACTATGATTTTGAAAATTGCTGTTCTGAAACTTTGGCCTTTCTTGCTCAAGTTCTGGTAAATTCCCAGGTCAATTAGTCCAGACATTGTTGACAACTCCTATTGTGAATATCCATTGTTGCTTTTGCGGTATTGCACTTTGTTCCGTCGTATATCGTAGTAATCGTACATCGATTAATCGTATATCGATTAATCGTATATCGATTAATCGTATATCGATTAATCGTATATCGATTAATCGTATATTGATTAATCGTATATCGATTAATCGTATATCGATTAATCGTATATCGATTAATCGTATATCGATTAATCGTATATCGATTAATCGTATATCGATTAATCGTATATCGATTAATCGTATATCGATTAATCGTATATCGATAAGCACAACTTCGATCAAATACAGTAAATATTATTATAATCTTGCTTTTAGTAAGTTTTACTGAAGATTAAAATTTTTAGGAATTAAAACTAAAAAAACAAATATTACGCTTAAACACATTTATTTGCATTTTCATGCAAGGTGTTGTAATATACAGATTCCATCAATTAAAAATTATTTACTTGTAACCTAGTTACATAAAACTGAAATTCGGAAGTTTTTTAGAAAATTTTTTTCTGATTTTCTTTTTTTAAAAAAATGTTTTGTATAGTGTTATGTTTCGTATATGATTTTTTTAAACACCTTTAACCATTAACTGTAGCAACACTAACCAACACAGCACCTATATATATTGAAAATTTTTCAAAAATTCTTTACATATGTTTAATTAAAAAAAAAAACTTAAAAATAAGATACTTCGTAATGAAAATTAGGAAAAACTAATAATTTATAATTTAAGTCGTGTGTTTTAAATGCAATTAAATCTTTTAAATTAGTAAAAAATTACAATTACTTAAATATATTAAAATTTTCATTCTGAAATAAAAAAATAAAGTGCCAATAGATAAAATAAACTTTCAGAGTTTTTTTTATCAAAAGATTTCCTGCCAAAGCCAAAACCCTCGTTGTATTTACGCTCCATCTATAAATAGCCAGTCGATAAATATCTACTGGGTGTAGTTAATCTATTCGATGTAGCTAAGGCGATTTACAAATTATTCGAATTCTTTTATTTAGAATTAGCGTGATTTTATCAGCGCATTATGTCCTAGCAAGAGCTTTAGATATTATAATTTTTTTTTCTTCAATATTTTTAATATTTAAAAGAACTTTTCTTTTTTTATATACAATTTTCAAAACATTTTTACTACCCCTAATAGTGAATCTATAGAACATCATTTTGGAGTCTTTTGATCACTTTCGCTCATCGACTTTAACATAAATTTTGTGATAATCTTTTGAAAAAGTGCCTTAACCAACTATTGATCTTATTTCTAATCGGTTCTGATGTATATAATTGTAAAAATACAATACTTCTATCAATTTTCACAAAAAATACAAGAATTCCCATCAAGAATGAGCTTATAATTAAGAAAAATTTGCCAATAAACAATCAGATCATATTAATAAAATGTGACGTTCATTTCACCTAAAAAATCTGTTTATTTAAAATTTTATTCAAATTTGGACATGCGATTGTGATTTTAAAAAAATTAAAAAAAAAAAAAAAAAAAAAGAATCTTCTGTCAGGGTTTTTTCGCTACTAACATTTGTATTTTAAGATACCGCAAAATTTATCATTTTAATTTTTTTTGTCTTTTCATAATTCACAGACATGATCATTTAAAGGAAATATGTCGTAGTCAACAAAATATCATACAGACGCTATAATATTTTAAAATTGCCTTAACTACACCGAGTACTGCGCTAGACATATTTTTAAACATAAAAAATCTTATCAATTAAAAGATTTCTCTTTTTTTTTTGCGTGCGAATTGGCTATAGTCAATTCTTTTTTTTTTTTTTTTTTACGTGCGAATAGACACACTGTTTTATTTATTAAACTTAAATAAACAATACTTTGCCTGTTGGTAATTATATAAGATTATCTGCATTGAGAACTGCGTTACGTAATTCCAATTATAATGCTATGCTTTTTTACGTAACAAGTTTTATAACTCGTAATAACTTTTTACAACGCCTTTAATCGCAAATTTATTTCTAAATTAATTGTCACTCTAGAAGAATCTTAGCCCTCTCACTTGGCGCCATCCTTGATGTTAGAATTGGAAAGATAGGTAGATAGAAAATAAATAACGTATAGAAAATTAAAACTAATAAAGCTTTAAAAAAAGTTTTTAATTTGGTAAAGCTCAACTAAATATCTCTTGTCATTAAATCAAATTACTTAGCAACGCGTATCATATTAAAACATATCAGTTTAAACCTCACATTAAATAAATAAGAAACAAAAAACTTTTGTATAATTAACTCCTACATTTAAACCTAATATAAGTTTAATTATACCTGAAAACTAAGAAATAAAAAAAGGGATCGAGGTCAATAAAACCTTGAGTAAAAAAAAAAGTAAACTGTTAGGTTTTAATTTAAACTCTAACTTTTAAGTTCAAATAAATAACTTAGCAATACACTTCGAAAATTGCACAATGCTTTTTATGCACTAACTATAATCTTGCATCAACTAACTTTTTATCAAGGAATCCTTTAACGTCATAAACCACATTATTGACATTTAAGTAATCTCGAATGTTTAGTTTTGAAAACTTTGTATGTCCTACAGCTAATATAATTGCATCAAATTTTTTATTTGCAGGAATTTCGTTTAAAGCTTCAATACTGTACACTTGTCTCACTTGCTCTAGACTGGCCCAAGGATCAACAACTAAAATGTTTGTTCCATAGGTATTTAATTCAGAGACTATGTTTATTACTTTAGTGTTTCTTACATCAGGGCAATCTTCTTTAAACGTAAAGCCTAAAACCAAAATATCGGCACCTTTCACTTTGACGTCCTTTTTTATCATCAGTTTGATGGTTTCTGTGACAATATATTTACCCATTTCATCGTTTAAACGTCTTCCAGCTAAAATAATTTCTGGATGATAACCTAATTCTTGAGCCTTTTGTGCTAAATAGTATGGATCAACGCCAATACAATGTCCACCAACTAAACCTGGTTTAAATTTAAGGAAGTTCCATTTTGTACTAGCAGCTTCAAGCACGTCATTTGTGTCAATTCCTATTAAGTTACAAATTTTCGCCAACTCATTTACAAAAGCAATGTTAATATCACGTTGAGAGTTTTCAATTACTTTTGCAGCTTCTGCTACTTTTATGCTTGTTGCTTTAAATGTTCCAGCAACAATTATAGTTTTGTAAAGTTGGTCAACTTTTTCAGCCACTTCTTCATTTGAACCTGATGTTACTTTTATTATTTTGGAAACTGTGTGTTCTTTATCGCCAGGATTAATTCTTTCAGGCGAATATCCTGCAAAAAAATCGACATTAAATTTTAATCCAGAAATTTTTTCTAGAATCGGAATGCATTTGTCTTCTGTAACACCTGGATATACTGTTGATTCGTAAATAACAATATCATCTTTTTTTAAAACTTTGCCAACATCTTCACTAGCTTTGTATAAAGCTGTTAAATCTGGCCTGTTATTTTTATCAGTGGGGGTTGGAACTGCTACAATATAGAAGTTGCAATCTTTTATATCTTCTAAGTTACTGCTGCATGTAAAACTAGCAAATTCGGTTTTGGTTGTTAAAACACTTTTTAAATAATCATTATTTACTTCAAAAGTTCTGTCTATGCCTTTTAAAATTTCTTCAACTCTTAACTTATTTATATCAAAACCAATGGTGTGTTTTTTTTTACCAAATTCAACGGCTAAAGGTAAACCAACATAACCTAACCCAATAACGGCAATCTTGCTCATTTTTTTTTAATAATAAAATTTCTATATAGTATATATAAACTATACAGCTATCTAGTTAATTTTCATTTAATTTTGTATTAATTTTTTTATACAGTTTAGCTGTGGTTAGTATTCTAATTAAGAAAAGGTTATAATTGTAAAAAAATGACGTCTTTATAAATAACATTGACATTTAAAATTATAATAAATATTTTATAATAAGTTTATAATAAGTTAATCTTAATTGCGTTTTTTAAAAGTTTACCTGTTTTTATTTATAGAGTGGAGATATAATTATTAAAAAAGCAGTTTTGAAGAAAGTAATAACAAATAAAAATAACAAATCTTTTCTCAGGTTTCATCAAAATTTCTTTTGAAACTATAAAATGTTTCAAATGGCTCGTATTTATTAAGTTTAAATAAACTACACTTCCTGTTGATAATAGTATTAGATTGTCTATATTGAGAACTCATTGTGTTTCATACTTGCAGTTATCTAATAGTAATTTTATCAAAAGAAAACTAATTTTTTATACATAAGTGTTAAAACTCCTAACAACTTTTGACAAAGCCTTTAATCACCAATTTATTTCAGTATATATTCAGTATAAATTTTAGTATATTTTTAGAATACATCAGTTGATAGAAATAAAGTTTATACTTCTATCAATGATCGAAATATAAATTTTATTAATAAAATATTATATTATAAAAAATCCTATTTATTACAAAAACAGGCGTGTCTACGGGTCTTGTCTATGATGCACAGACATGACCTGCAAAATTTGATCTAACTTACATTATAAATTGCTATAGCGATCTCTATATAATAATACGCTACTTGTAAAGGTGAGTTTCCACTCATCCGTTTTTCTACAGGATAGGGAAAAGGGAACGGAAAAATAATCACGTGAGCATGCGTAATAAAAGTTTTTATTTGTCCGTAAGGAAACTGCGCATGCTCACGTGATTATTTTTCCGTTCCCTTTCCCTTTCCCGGATGAGTGGAAAATCACCTTTAAGTAGCGTATTACATGCGAACGTGCATTTTCTAATTGTTTTTACAATGCGAATACTCTGTATGTTTATAAATGCAAAGTTCTGAAAAGTAATAGGTTATTTTTAAATAGTTATTTTCTACGTTAATTGCATTGTACAGAAGTGTATATTATTATCTTTTTTTTTTTTTGTTAATTTTTTATTATCTACGTTTATTACATTAGTACAAAAGTGTACATTGCGTACAATGTACATAATGCACATTTCTACTAATGTACACTTCTGTATGTACTCTGGAAAGAATACAATACATCACATTTTTAAATACTTTTGTATTTAAACATGTTTTCATTTATTCATATTAGCAATCAAAAAAACTGAAAATAAATTACTTCCATACTGTGCATTCATATACCTCATACATGAATACGCAGTACAAAAGTACTTTACTTCCGGTTCGGTCAATTACCAGTTTTTTTAATTACTAATATTTATTAAAAGGATGAACAAACTATTGAGCTAATACAGCGCAGAGCCACAAAAATGACAAACTGAAAAAGTTAGACTACAAGTCCAGATGTTTACAACTTGGCCTATCTACTCTAGTTGAACGTCGCAAACGAGGTAACCTCATCCAAAAATACAAAATTGTTAACAACATTGACATAATCAACTGGCACTTTCCCCTCATCACAATTCCACCAAGAGAGAAAGACTCCATCGTGAAAAGTACAGCAACCATTTAGCTCGCTTTCACTTTTTTAACAATCGTATTGTCAATGCATGGAACATGCTACCAGATAAAGTAATCGATTCTCCAACTGTAAACAGTTTTAAAGCAAGCCTCGATAGGCTCTAATGTTACTACAGTTCGCAGCTTTCCTAAGTGAAAATTGCAGTATCAGCTTCACAAAAACTAACTGTAATCTGACAATCAATGATTTGTATTTTGTCAATTATTTTTACTTTTGTTGTAACAAATATATACTACTACTACGACTACTGCTGCTGCTACTACTACTACTACTACTACTACTACTACTACTACTACTACTACTACTACTACTACTACTACTACTACTACTACTACTACTACTACTACTACTACTACTACTACTACTACTACTACTACTACTACTACTACTACTACTACTACTACTACTACTACTACTACTACTACTACTACTATTACTACTACTACTACTACTAAATATTACAGGAAGAATGAGTGCTCCTAAAATTACTAGATTCAGTTTGTATAAAAAAGAATCAAAGTTTTCACTGAATTTGGGCGGAAGTAATTATTTTAATCCTTCGGAAGTGCCTACTTTTAGAGATGTCCTGCGAAAGGGTCTTTTAATAGAAGAATGTTTGCTCATTGAAAAAGATATTGACAAGTATGTAATGAAAAGTGACATTTCAAGATTGCAGAAATATTTTTTATATTTACTTGTATTCACTTTGTTTTATTTTTAAGGAGGCTGATTTTCTCTTTCAGCATAAAAGCTGAAAGAGAAAAAACTGGGTCATTATCAAAAAATCAAATGACTTGTAAAGATACTAAGGAAAAAGCTATACATGTTACTTTGAAAAAGAGGAAGTTGAAAAGAAGGTCAAGTCTAGAAAAAAAAGAACTAGAAAAAAAAGAGTTAGAAAAAAAAAAGAGGAAGAAAGTTCAAAGAATAAAGATCTTATTAAGTTTTTCATAAGTGATGATAATTCAAATAGAATAGAAATGGACGATGAACTTGTTTCAACTGATAACTGGAAACTAGATTTTATTTCTATTAGTAATACTGCTGAAGCTTCTTTGAGACTTGATATTTCACCAGTTCTAATATTAGCAGTAGTTTCAGCTTTTCTTCAAAACCTTATTCTCGATAACTTTTAAACATCTGAAATGTCCTATTTGGCTGTATAGATTCTAAGAAAGTTGTTTGAGCTAGGAAAGCAGTAATGACTAAAGCAAAGACATCAGAAAAAATGAAGATTTAAGTATAACCTATTAAAGGTATATTTGGCGATGGCAGAAAAGATTTTATCAGAGTTTTAAAGCACACCCTGTATAAAAACTATTTCATCAAAGGGTTGTGAAAGAAGCAGATATTGGTCTATTTAACTGGATGGTTCCTCGGGGAGTACATTAACCTCTAGAAGTAATAGGAGAAGATTCAACAAATGCTGTAACTGGTTCAGGGAAAGAAGGAAGTTTGTTGACAAATCTTGATGAGATAAAAGAAATTTTTAGTCCGTACACAAAAAATAGAGCTTATTTTGCACATTCTTAATCTTTGATTCTTTCTGTTTATTACAAGCTCGGATAAGAAATCTAGAAGGTTTGCCATTAAAACCATCAAAGAGATACGGAAAGGTTTGGAGTATGGAGACACTTGATTCAGGCCAAGGAAGAAGGTTCAACTCAATCTGGGAGCTATATCTATGCAAGAACTGATCGACGAGGACAAAGAAGATAAATCAGAACCTGTATTTAATTGTCAAATACCTACAAAAGATCTTGACAATTTCTTTGACACCTTTTGAAGCATCTTACTTTCTTCTACACACAGCCTTGAAAAAGAGTGGTAAAAGAAGCTACATATGCATTTGTATGTGTTTGTGGATTTGAGAGAAGAGATGGGTTTGTCAGGGCCAGGATGACTCATAGACTATTAATGTCTAAGCTGTACTCTAAAAAAATTTTAAAAAGATTTAAGAAACAAAGAAACTTGAGTTTGATTGTTTATACTGTTAATATGTTTCAACATGAATATGTAACTTTGCCAAACTAATAGTTAATCTTAGCGCTTTTTGTAGAAATTTTTTTTCTCTCAAATTTCTTTATTATTACTTAATATTATTTTAAATTTCTAAAAAAAAAAAGTCTGGGGACATCTCCCCTGGGCTTTCAGCCGTCGTCGGCTCTAGTTTAATGTTGATTTTTGACGCCAATCATTTACCCAGATTTTTTATATGTTAAAATACAAATAACATTAAAATTGGACTGAAATTCACTGAGATATAAGTTTTTTTAATTCGGAAATTTTACGATTTTACGATGACAAAAAAACCAGTTCCCCGGTAGGTAAAAAAATTTTTTTTTGATATATATATATATATATATATATATATATATATATATATATATATATATATATATATATATATATATATATATATATATATATATATATATATATATATATATATATATATATATATATATATATATATATATATATATATATCTCCAGCAAAATAATTTTCAAAAACACTTCTCCTATTTACAAAGAAGCCCTTATAAAGTCTGGACATAGCAGCAATATTCAATATCGTCCTAAGTTAAATTTACAAAAAATTAATCGTCATACTAATAAACGCAAACAAAACATCATTTGGTTTTAGTAAGAATGTTGTCACCAAATTAGGAAACCTTTTCTTGAACATAATTGACTTACATTTCCCAGCACACCACATTCTGCACAAGATTTTTAACAGAAACAACGTCAAAATAAGTTACAGCTGCTTGCCAAATATTTGCACAATTATTAAGTCCCACAACCAACACATTTTGCGCAACCAAAATACCGAAAATGTTAAAAAATGCAACAGTATAGACAGAGCTACGTGTCTTTTAGAAAATCAATGTCTAACTAAAAAAATTGTTTACAAAGCTACCATAGCGTCAGCCACTCTAAGAAATCCTATATTGGTATTAGCGAAAACTTCTTAAAGATCAGGTTTGCAAACCACATAAAATGAAATAAGTTGATCAGGTATAAAAATAACACTGAACTTTCTAAAGAAATCTGGAAACTTAAGGAAGCAGGCATTAAACAATTAATCAAGTGGAGTATTGTTAAAAAATGTCAACCCTATAACCCATCCTCAAAAAGGTGTAATCTTTGCTTAAATGAGAAAATTTTATTTCAACATACAATAAAGAACCTCTGTTAAATGAAAAAAGTGAATTGGTTTCAGCATGTAGGCACAGAAAAAAGTTTTTAATATCGAATTTCAACACTAGTTAAAAAAATTCCTGTTTGGCGCGAAAACTGACGTCTGATGCAATTTTGTATTTTTTATAACGGTTTTTTATTTTATTGGTTTTCAATATATGGCTGAATGATTGCCAAATGGCATGAAACTTGAAGTCCTATATAAAAAAAGTCATATATATATATATATATATATATATATATATATATATATATATATATATATATATATATATATATATATATATATATATATATATATACATATCTACTATAGCATATTTATATGCGCAATTGCTCACTTTTTTTGCTAGCCTAAATTAAGTGAGCATTTTTAGAAAACGATGAGGGAAAACGAAGAACAATGAATGAAAATGTTGCTGACCCATACCAAACCCTCAGTCGATGTAGCAGCACTCCACGGCGAGTCAGGCTATTTGTCAGTCGATGTATGTACTGAAGCCCCCGGCAGCAGGCTATTTGACATTAGGTGAGTATGACATCATCATGCTTACCTAACTCAGCAGTATAATATATATATATATATATATATATATATATATATATATATATATATATATATATATATATATATATATATATATATATACATATATACATATATATATATATATATATATATATATATATATATATATATATATATATATATATATATATATATGTATGTATATATATATATATATATATATATATATATATATATATATATATATATATATATATATATATATATATATATATATATATATATATATATATATATATAAATATATATAAATTACACGAAACTCAAATATAGCAGCATAAAGTCTATCATTTAACTTTAAAAAATATGACCTTGTAAAATTTCCGCAACCCCCTCCCCTAAAAAGAGAGAAATGTAAATTTCGCATGGTCATAACTTTTAAACACTAAAGATTATTAAAAGAAATTTAAAATATGTTGATGAATTTAATTTTAGTATAATACGCTAAAAGTATGTTTTAATATCTGATTACCCTCACATTTCCAGACTCCAATTACTGCCATGAAAAAGTTTCTGCAAATCATTACCCCGCGCCTTGCACAGTTGTATCTCCCTCTAATTACGCTACTGTTGCTTCTCGTCATATGTTAAGAATTTCTCCAGGTTATAATGATTTTTTGTAAGTTAAAAATAGTGGATATGATATTCCTTAGACAAGGATTGTAGAGCGTTAGGCCTTGGTTGATACCTTGGGTTATGAGCGACTCGGCTTTTTGAGCGATTTTCGATTTCTTTTGATCAATATTGATTTCGTGAAATACAGTGTTTGTCTTTATTTTTGGGTATTTTATTGCATAAATGACTATGTAATTGGATGAATACTAGGTTAAAATGGTTGTTAAGGACTTTGGCTTTTTGAAATTGTTTTTAAATGTTGTAAATAGTTCGTTTGCGCGATTTAGAAATTGTATGTATGAACTTTTGTTTTTCGTTGATATAAGCAAATAGTTTTTTGCTTGTATTCATAGTTTTTAATGGCATTCTTTGACCCTTAATGATTTTTGAGTCAAAAATTGTATCTTTTATTTTGATGCTTGAAGTTCCTCAGCCTGCTTCTTAAGACACTTATATTTGTTGTAAGCCAAAGAGTGTGTAATTAATGTGCGATTGTTTTTAAAAGTTACGTTCAGAACGTCTTATAAAATGTTTAGAAGACCTTTCAGAACGTAACTTTTATAAATTTATGCCCGTTCTGTATACTTGAGTTTTTTTTTCTATTGTGTAGATACTAAAAATGAAAAAATTAAAATACCTTTTTTGTAACATAATATTTTAAACTTTATTTTTAAATATATTTAATAATTGTTTAATATATTACTTTGTGAATAATATATTAACATTTATTTGAGATTAATGCATGTTTTTTATGTCAGCGGAGGTGTAAAATTTACAATTAATTTATTATTTGATTGAAAATATTGTAAAAAAGAAATTTAAAAAAAAAAAAAACTTTACAATCTTTTCTTTAAAAAAATATATTTTCAAATAAATTAGTAACAGATTATTTTATATTTATATTTAAGAATATATATATATATATATATATATATATATATATATATATATATATATATATATATATATATATTATATATATATATATATATGTATATATATATACACACACACACATACAAAGCCTTAACATTCAAATAGTTATTCCCAATGGAGATCCCCTTTTCGTAAAGTTTGTTGAAGCAATTTTGATTTTTTCAACATTATTAAATGCGGATTAATAGAACTTCTCGATGTTGCAGCACTATCTTTAGACTTCATCGTATCTTGCGATTCATCACCCTTTACTTTAGAATCTTGCGAGTTATCTTTTACTTTACATGTTTTAACTATTCTACTTTTAGAACTGCACTTTTTATGATTTTCGATATGAGATTTAATAATATGTATTTGATTGCTTTTTAACTCCATTTTTTGCTCCATGCGGTCTAACATTTTTCTATATTCTTCTTGTTTCTCGTTGTTAATTTCGTCAATCTGGGAAGATACTTCATGATGCGCACTAAAAATATAATTAAACATATTAAAATACGAGGAAACATTAAAATATGGTTAGCACTAAACAAAATTTCAATAAATTTAAAAAAAAACTTTTTTTTTTTTTAAATAAAAACTATTTTTTAATAATAACAGAATCATATAACTATCAAATCTTTAAAAAAGAACTGCAAGTTTATTTACAAAAAATTAAATTTTTTAAAAAGTTGAAACATGAAAATTGAAATATAGGGCTAACTAAAAATTGGAAGATGGTCAGAACACAACTTGTCTTTACTTTTTATTTTGTTAATTATAATGATTAGTTCTCGGCAAATCATCTGATCAACCAACCATGACAGTTGATTTAAATTTTAAAAGAATGTTCTCAGATCAATAAACTTATTTGAAAATAAAAATCTAATTAATTTTTTTATTTAAAAATATTTACTTTTATTTTATATTGTTACAGGGTACTTATATTGTTATAGGCCTAAGCTTAGGTTATAAGCTATTTTATACATCCTTAAATATTAAAAAAAAAATTATACTACAATGTTTAAAAATATAAAAAATTATTTACAATATAAAAAATATCGCAATTATTTTTAATTATTATAAATAATTTAAAATTATTTTTCAATTACTTTTATACATTTTATACAACACTTTTTATAAAAAACATTTTTATAATATTAAAAACATTTTTAACTAAAAAAAACAATTAAACTTAAATATTTAAAAATATTTATGTTATTTAAAAGTATTTATAATAATTAAAAACTCAAGGTCTTAAACGAGGCTGTTCTGTTAATTATCAAAAACTTCGTTACAATGTCTCAAAAAAAACTTCATTACACTGTCTCAAAAAAAGAAAGATTTCAAAAACAACTTTATCACAAATAAAAAAGCTTACAATCCCAATTGAGCCAATTCATCTTGAAGCATCCCAAGTAGGATTTCAATATCTTTTACAGAAATAGAATCTTCAACTTTTTTATCATACTTGGTCATCTTTTGTTTGACTTTTATTGAATCTGATGTTGTTTGATAATCTTTCAATTCTTTGTGACAAAGGTTGTTATGCAACTTCAAAATGGAAAGTACACTTTGAATATTAGCACCTAAAGAATGTGATTTCCCTGATGACTAAAAAAAAAAAAAAGTTACATTTAAAACTATTTTTATGATAATCTATTAAAAAAAAAGTAAGGTATAAAAATTGAGGAGCAATGAAAACATGATTTGTTGCAAAAAGATTTTATAGAATTTTTTCTTTTTCTTTTCTCTTTTTTTCTCTCTTGTTTGGTATCCATACTATATGGTATGAAAAAAAATCAATAAAATTTTGTTTTTGTCTAAATATTTTTTAGAAGAAAAAAATTAATAAAACCTTGTTTCGTCTAAATGTTTTTAAATAAGTAATTTTTTTAAACAAGTAAAAGCAATAGTAAAAAAAAAAACGTGTTCTATCTTTCACCAGGATAACATCACAAAATGATTTGTCTAAACAACCAATCACAGATGAGTGAAGACCATTTTGACATTTGACAAAACACATTTTAAATTAATGAACCACTTCCTCATAAAGTTGTCATTGCAAGTTTATAAGGTTAAATGTTACAGTTTGTTTATTTTGCAGTTAAATTATAGTTTCACATTTTTTGTATTATAGTTCAGCAAGTATTCAAGACTCAGCAGTTCTTAAACAATCCATTATTGTACTCGCAATACAAAAACCTTACATTGCTCAAAAGTTACACCAAATCATGTTACGCAAATTTGAGAAAACTTATGTTTGGAATAGGAAAAAATTTGATCGAGATGGTTTCAAGATGGTATCAATTTATATTTGATCCAGAATCAAAAAGTAAAGCGAAAGATACCCAAATCAAAACCTACTCATGATGGAAAAAATAAGTTTATTTATTTCCCCCATAAAGGCATTTTCCAACTTGTGGTCATTTTTTTTTCTTAGCAGTTTTTGATAGGGAAAAAAATTTTTGTATTTTTTTTTTCAATAATAGTAGGCTTACTTTTTTGAAAAGAAAAAGTACACAGAAATTTATAAAGAACTGGGAACAGTGAGTACATTAGAACAAAACAAGGGAATTTATAGACACTAAAAATTAAAATCAAGAGAATTTTTTTCAAAATCAGTGAGATTTATGGCAAACGGTCAGTCAGAGTTAAAGAAATGAAGAAATTTATTTATGAAGGTAATAAAATATACCAAAACTTAAAACAAAAAGTCACTTCACCATTAATAGATTAAACAGAATGCAACCACAAACATGGCATCTGAGCAGATCACTATCTGAAGAGAAGAAGAAAGATGTAGATAAACTACTGCAGTCTGTTTTTGGGAACTAGTAAGAGATGGACACGGCCGGTTCAAATGTATGATGATGAACACAGCCGGTTCAAATGGTACAAAGAAGTTTTTTTCAATACTTCCACCACCACTGCTGAGATAATAAAATGAGAAAAAATAGGATATTTTGGATTAAAAAAACTAAAATTAAAAAAAAAGTTTAAAAATGTTTTGTAAAAATATCAAAATTTTAAAATTTTTTTATTAAACAAACTCTTTTAATCATCACTGACATCATTCTTAATTATCCCTGATATCATTCCAAACCATCCCTGATATTATTCCAAACCATCCCTGATATCATTCCAAACTATCCCTGATATCATTCCAAATCATCCTTGATATCATTCCAAACCGTCCCTGATATCATTCCAAACATTCCCTGGCTCAAAATCTCTTAGTTAATGTAGATACATTTTTATCATTTTTATTATTTTTGATATTTAAATGTAGCTTGAACAGCAAGAATGTGTACCAGACTTAAAATGCAACCACACAAAAAAACAACTTCTTTAAAGGGATCCAAAACCTCCGAGACATGTTGTTGTTCATATTAAAGAGAATGATAAAAAAAAATGTTTGGGCTAAATTTTTTTGATTAAAACAAAAGAATAAATGCATACCAAGAAAAACTAACTTTTTTATTTTAGTCGAAGCTCGCCTTCTCAGTTTTGTTGTAGGCCAAAAAATGTCATCATAATATACGCCACAATCTACAGACTTGATAATTTATTCAAACAAGTTTTATTACTAACGCTTTTAGTATACAACACCATAGATTTTTTTGTTTACATAATCAATTTTTTACATTTTTTTTTTTTTTATCATTCTCTTTAATATGAACACAATATGTCTCGGAGGTGTGGGATCCTTTTAACAAACATGAGCCATTTTTCAGAATGATTTTTACAGTGAGTGAATAGTTACACATTACATTATAAATCATTATCAGTTATATATAAAAAATTTATTCAATATTTGAAAGAAACAAAATAAGACTTGAAACAATACTTTTCCCACAACAAAAGGTATATCTGTATATTTCATCAAGTAATGATCATTTGATAACTTTGAACTTTTAGATTTCATTGTATGAAAATCCATAATATCTGAGTTAACCTAAAGCAAGATAATTAAACAAAATATGAGATATATAAATATCAGCCCTCAAAATTAGAGTCGCCATTCAGCAATGTCAACCTCTAAAAGATATATATATATATATATATATATATATATATATATATATATATATATATATATATATATATATATATATATATATATATATAAAAGAGATATATATATATAAAAGAGTGAATCATTTTTCAACAATTTTTTTAAATCAAATCCTAATCACCTGATTTAGTTGACTGGTTGGGTAAAAGTAAGTAAAAGTGTAAGGTTTTACCTACTGCTTTTACAATTTGTGCCCCAAAACCCCCACCTTAACCAACCTGAACCTTTTTATAAACATTGAAATAAATTACCAATTTATTTTCTATGAACTCTAAAGGACCTAAATACTAACTTGGAATTGGTTGGAAAGTTATGTCTGGAAAAATGGGGGAAACATTCTAATTTTATGTAATTTAATGAATATCAAATAATTATCAGTTGACCAATTCTGTTATCTCTCAAACTTTCCTAGACAAATTTTAGCAAATTCTCATTTACAAAGATAAATTCAAAATAAAATTCAATTAAAAAAAAAGGTTTAATATAGAGACCCCTATATGAGGACTTGGTTGAGTGGAGGGTTTGTTTCCTAACCAAACCTAAACTCCCCACACTTATTTTACTTATTTTTTTTACAGAATGTTTATGTACCATCTGCCTTCAAGTTTTATTTTACATTAAAATTGATTAGATTTTCATATAGGTGCTGCAAAATATTTGTTTTAATGCAGCAATTTTATTTTGCTCAATCTCAAGTAGCTGAGATAATTATTTTCAGCTAAAAAAAAATATATAACGACATTGTTAAGGTCAACAATGATAAATCAATCAAGAAAAAATTTTCTTCTTGTTTTTCATAAAAAATCGAACAAATATTCTTCAATTTATGCTTTGTAAGCGCCGTTCTTTTTTTCCCATTCTCCGTTGTTTAACAGACTGAAAATAAACTACAAGTTCCAACTAATTTACTGTAACAATCTAGGTGGTTTCTCCTGGGTGAAGTCTAAATCTTTTTTGGATTTTCAGACTTCTCATAGTGTGTAAGAACAGGTTGTGAGAAAAGAGCTTTTACAACTTTTTTTTTCTCATCATCTTCGAGTCCTTTGTTTGTAGGGATTGCAATACCGGTTAACCAGTAAATCAAGATAAAATGTATAAATTTGTTACGGTAATTAAATCAATAATAACCGGTAAATTCTGTACAGAAATGCTATAACAAATCTGAGAAACTACGAGCTGTTAATAAGAAACCACACTCATAAAAAATGCAAACACTTCACAAACTTTTATAACTGAAAGTAAAATATAATGAATGGTAAAAAAATAATTTTGTATTTATTATGATTTTCAGTCATGGTTAAAAACTTACCATAGAGTTATTTTATACGAGTACAAAATGGATGTGAAGGTCAATACAAGTATTGTTTAAAAATAATTCAAGCTTCTGGTGGCAATACAAGTAGTATGCATGCACACCTTCAAACACAGCACAGTATTAAACTTTTGAAAAGATAACCCAGATGAACCAAATAAAATTAGGTCTACATCAATGAACATAAACACATCTATAAATTTGAGTAATTCATCAAAAATATTAAAATACTTCAGAAAACTGATAATTCTTTTTAATGATGAGACTTTTTAATGGATGCTCTGCTACATTTATTATCAGGTGTGCCAACAACAACAGGAAAGTTGATTCCAAAGAATTTTAAAGGAAACTTGTCTGTAGATTTAATATTGTCTCTTCATTTTTATTTTGAGAATCTCAGAAACAACTTGCTCACTGAATACATTTCCAAGACTTTCAGCCAACATAATTAGGTGTTTCACAGCTTCACTCTTTAGGAAAAGTGAGAAATTTCTTTGCCTAAATAGAAATTTAAAGTAGGAAAAACTCTGATATTATTATATTTGTAAAACATAAAAATACTACACTAATATTTAATAAGTCTATCCAAAGACTATGCATTGACTAGCATAGACTCTATGCTAAATTTAATTTTTTTTTTAACAATAATTAAAGAAATAGTTTATTAACTAAAATATTATATAAATTATACAATATTTTGAATTTGTTTAAGAAAATCATACCTATTGTAGAAAAGCAAGGAAATATCTTTTTAATAATTTTATCAATGATATCTTGATTATTTGTTGTAACGCGATAGTGGTGTAGTGGTATAGTGGTAAAACACTCACTTCATAAGCGAGAGGTTCCGAGTTCGATCCCCACCACATCCCTGGTAGTACCGCGCTCAACTTGTTTCTCTGCGCAGCAACCTTGTTCGTCAAGGTTCGTATTTTGGAGTTATAGAGTTGAGAGAGGGTTATAACCACTATTAAGTAGCCTCCTTGTCTGTAGTGGCCTTCACGACCTTGAGGAGGTGAATAACAAAAAAAAAAAAAAAAAAATCTGTCCAGATATTTCACAAATATCAGATGACCTTCTGAGTTTTTTTCTGTTAATTTGAGATCTTTTCATAATCCAATCATTTAATTTTAATGTTTCACCCCTGTTTAATGTATATAAATTTGTTTCAGCCCCTTTTAAATGCATATAAATTTGTTTCACCCCCTGTTTAATGTATATAAATTTGTTTTGCAAGAATTACAAATGTTTTTTGGACAACACTCTTTTTCTACATCATATTCTCTCCATAATAAATTCTGAATATGAAGTTGTACTGCGGGACTTTAATAAGTTTATGTGACCTTTTTCCTAAAGAAATAAGGCAACATGCACAAATTAGACATTTCTTGTTGGCCATTTTGACAAAAAATATAAGTTTTATATGATTGCTTTTAACCATAATAATAATTATTTTTATCTGTATTGCAACATTTTTTACCAATTTGCATAGATCATGTAATCATAAAATGACGCAATGTATTTTAGACATTTTAATTAAATCTAAAATTTCCATGATTAAAAGTTAGTTTAGATTTTAAAAATTATTTTAAAATACTTCATTTAACCCAATAATAGTAAATAAACAAAAAAATTTACTCATTTTTCCTAATTCCGAGGTTTAATTTATATATAAACAAATAATTAATTGTAAATAAACACAAAAATTTAGAGTAAACCAAAATTTACCCTGGAGAGCACATTTATATATTTTCAATTGTAAACTTTCCAACCAATTCCAAATTAATATTTAGACCTTTTAGAGTTGATAGAAAGATAAATATGTATTTTGGGTTGGGTCATACTATTTAGATTTGGGAGTGCTCAATATTTTTTATGTGATATGTGAAGAAATGTAAAATAAATTTTTTTTTTTGAAAAGATTTTTTATGCTGAGTGTTTAAAAAATGTCATTTTTTTAACTGACATTTTTCAAACACTCAGGCTCATTAAACTTGCACTTTTTTGGTATTTTTTTAGCCATGTTAATTCAATTACCAATATATGTTTAGAAATAATAAAAATAGAATTTTTGGTGCTACTTTTCTTAAGGCCATACAAAGATGGTAGACATTATGGGTTTGTATTATTGTAAAAATTTTCCAACAATACAAACCCAACAAAAAAAAAATTGGTAAAAATTTTATTTTCAGATTTTCATTTTTTATCATAAAACTTTTATATAAAAGAGGTTAACAATAAAACTAATATAAAAGAGGTTAACAATAAAACTAATATAAAAGAGGTTAACAATAAAACTAATATAAAAGAGGTTAACAATAAAACTAATATAAAAGAGGTTAACAATAAAACTAATATAAAAGAGGTTAACAATAAAACTAATATAAAAGAGGTTAACAATAAAACTAATATAAAAGAGGTTAACAATAAAACTAATATAAAAGAGGTTAACAATAAAACTAATATAAAAGAGGTTAACAATAAAACTAATATAAAAGAGGTTAACAATAAAATATGGCCATTATGCAAAAAATATATCCCTCGATATTATCAAGAGCCATACTAATTGGTCAAAGTCTCAATAACAAGGAAAGATATATGACTTTTTATGTGTTCTAAATTTAGTATGATAACTAATTTGTAAGTGACAAAATTACAAAAAATCATTTAAACTAATTACTTTTTAAATAATAACACAGCAACAAAAAATGTCAAATAGCATTCTATTTATCTTTCATCGCAATAACAAATATTGTAAGAAGATCAGCAATGAACCAAGACATGTGGTAGCAAATTTAGAAGTGACATTATTTAGAGACAAAACTAAAAGATTTGTTCGATTGGCAACGGTTTCCCTTGAAGTCATTGGGGTCCACGTGCATGATCAAGTTTTGATAGCAAACTTAGGACTTTTTGGAGTAGCTAATGCTGGGTATAAGAACATTACGGTTACTAGGATGAGTAACCATCCTTCCATGGGGGAAACCAATTTTGGGAGTGTGTGTGTGTAACAGCTGAAAATAAAAGTAGAACACTACTTGAGATCAAGAAATTGAAATAGTGGAGACAAATAAGTGACAAACCTGCAATTATGGACTTGAGCAAAGCGTATCTTCAACTAAAACAGTGATGTTTTAGAGCAGCTTTGTAACTTTACATTTTCTTGGATTATCATGCAAAACTGACCTTTAATGGAAGCCATATATACAGTCCATTGCAATGTTAGCATTGGTTAAGTTTGTTTCTTACATTAAATTACTGATATTATTCTCTACCTTTACAAAACTCTTATTTGTCCCTGTATAAAACAATGTTGTCATTTTTGGGCTGGTTCTTCTAATAATACTCTTTCTCTTCTAGACAGTGTCCAAAAACACATTGTAAATGTAGTTAGATCTGCTTTATCTGCCAAGCTTAAGCCACTTTCCCATTGTAGTAAGGTTGGATCTCTTTTCACTTTATCTAGCTTTTTCACTCGCGCTTTAATGCTTTGAAACTCTTTCTCATCTTCATGTTTTCCTTATTTATTCCTACAACTTTTTAAGGCTTCTTGTACCCACTTTCTTTCTTTTTTAACAACATTCTTTGTTTCCTAGTAACTTCCAACTTTAGAATGGTTGCTTGCAGCCTTGTTTGAGAGTAAATTAGTTTTTAAAAAAATTTGGATGACAGCAAATTCTACAATCCCATGGGTCTCAGAAAACTATGCAACTGATAAACTTGGAAATAGAAAATTGTAAAAACATTAAAATATTTAAAACTAAGACCAAAAAAAAAAGAAGAAAAGCAAACAGACAAACTTGAAAAGTTATTTGACTTAACAAAATGTAAGTGCAAGATTTATGTAGTAATCAAAGTGCTTGTGACAATTGTATCTTTAAAGCGCATGTGATTTGCTAATGTTCAAAAAAAGAGTAGTCAGTTATGTTAGAATTTCTTTTTTTAGAAGTTCTTAGAAATAAAACTGAGAACAATAGTACTTTACAAATAAGATTAGTTGATGCATCAGAGATAAATCAATTGATGAGATATTTAGATAGGAAATAACTAAACTCTAAAACGCCCTGGACAAATAGTGAGAAAATAAGTGCATATTAAATTATCACAATAAATAACTACAACTTTTTTTATTAAAACAATGATTTTAAAATTTAGTATAAATGGTGTTTGTATCAAAATTAATTAACAATCATCATATTGTGTGTGAATTTTTTTTTTTTAAGCAGAATAATGTCAAACAATACCAGAAAATTGCAACAAAAATGCAAATGATTCAGTTTAAAAGTATTTTAATATTAAATATTATTCTCAAGCAGACAATTTGCAATTCGGAATATTTTAAAATGAAGATTTTTACTATATAAAAATAGTGTAAGAGAAAAAATCATATACAAAATGAAATGGCTGATTCTCATTTAGATCTAATTAGTTGGAGTTCTGATGTGAGCGCAAACTTTTACTTACATATTTATTGTCGAAGGATGAATTTTTAAAATATAACTATTACCCAATGTACCTTGTTTTCTGTTCATGGAAAACACTGAAAGATGCGTTCACAAAAGCTTTTCCATTAGTATCAAATTCAATTGGTTCAATCAGCAAACCAATTAAAAAAATTTTAAACAAATATAATCAATACAAACCTTTTTAGTTGTTTAAAATTGTTTATTCTTTTATGATCATAGTTAAATTTAATATAATTTATTGCTATCTTTTATTTAAGACAAGTTTCTTCGTATCTCTCTTCGATCGAAAGAATTATTCATTATAAAAGTAAAACTAAAACTAAAAAAATAATTTTCAAATCTATATTATAGTCTGAACATTTTTAGATATTTGAAGTTTTATTGGATATTAAAAGAAATTTAACAAACTTTAGGTAAGATCAGGTTAAAAGAGAATTTGGTTAAGATAAAGTGACAAAAATAACATTGACACATCTTTGTAAAATATATTAGTTTTTTGCTGTGACAAAAAAAAAAAAAAAAAAAAAAAAAATTAATGCCATAAACTGAAAAATAATGTAATTAGCAATGTAATAATAATAGTAGATAAGAATAGTTGACTATTTTATAGTCTATCCCCCCTCCCTACGGCTATTGAGGTAAAATTGACAGTACTATGTTTTATGTTACAAATGTTTAAACTATATTTAAGAATTATTTGGGATAACATTATCATTGGAATTTTAACAAACAAAATTGAGAAAACCCTTTTAACATATTTTGATGATTGAGTTTCCAAAGACAAAATTGATTAGTTTTTCATGAAACTGACACTTTTTAAACATTGCCACACAAAAAAAAAAACATTTTAAATGAGCTAAATTAAATAACAATAAATTTTTTTGACGAAGCATTTAAACAATAGGAAGTAAAGATGGTTTTTTATTGAGCCTTATGATCTAGATTATTATGTTATATGCACAAGTATAAAAACTTTGTTTTCTGTTCATAAAATAATTTTATTTTAAATACAAAAAAAACTGCAACAGTAAAAAATTATTACTAGAATTAACTGAATATACCTTTGTCTTTGTTTGTTTTTTATGCATCCTATTAATTTCATCACTATTATTTTTTGTGTCACCATCGATACTCATTGCGCTATCATCAACATTCTGTAAAGGTGTTTTTAAGCAAATAAAAAAATATATATATATATATATATATATATATATATATATATATATATATATATATATATATATATATATATATATATATATATATACATATATACATACATACATATACATACACTCAGACACAAAGGTTACAAACTTTTAATGCCCCTAGTTGAATAGATGAACATTGATTAAAAAGTAACTAAAAAGTCTTTGGTTTTATTTACTTTTTCAAATGGGTCATCCAACACGATCCTTGAATACATAATGGTTATATATCCCAGCAAAAAAAAAACCCAGCAAAAAACAGCAAAAAAAAAAATCTTTAAAAGTATATCAATCTCATAAAAATCAAAATTTTATAAAGTTTTAAAAAGAATAATGGTTTTAAACAAAATATGTTTCTTAAATTGTATATACAAAAAAGTAAAATTCAAAAAAAAAAATTGATAGGGTCATTTTTTATGAAATTTTATTATTTTTAAAGTTTTTTAAAAAAAAAAAAGTGAATTTTAAAATCTCTTAAAAATTTAGTTCTTTGGAGGCCCAGGTTGATACCTTTGTAAAGCAAACCTTTTCTAACGGTATATGGTAAAAAAATAGTTTTCCTATTTTTAATAGGACCAACTGGGTGTACTGAAAGGTTATAACCCTAATATACACACATATGGTATATAGACTTTACCTGCTGTGTACCTGGTACTTGTTTTTTTTTATGAGCTTCTTGGATTTTTTTTTCAAGCTGTTGTATTTTATTCTTAAATAAAAATAAGCGATAACTTAATACTTTTCATGCTATTAAAATAAAAATATTACAAAATTTTAAAATTAAAAGATTACAAAATTGCAATTAATATGATTAGTTAAACAATTGTTAGTACTCAAAAAAATATATTAAAAAAAATTTAACAAAAAATGATGTAAAAAGTACATACCTCTGTGAGAGCCTGAGAAGCAGACAGCTTTAAATGCTCTTCCTGCAATTTATTTACCTTTTCTATTGTTGGTAGAAAACCATCCAATTCATGGAAAGATTTTTCATTCACGTTATTTTTTAGTTGCTCTACAGCAACCAGTGGAGCAGCAGAGAAACTAATTGTGGAACCAGCCGAGAGCTTTTTACTGTTAGAGTAATCTAACAAAAGTGGCTGCACATTGGTTTTATTTGAAGGAGAATGTATTCTTTTACCAAACATCATTGTTCTTGAAGTGTCAAGTTGTTTTTCTAATATCTCACACCTTTTTTTTGCACATTCTAATTTGTCTTCTAAGTCTAAAGAAAATATTAAAAATTAGTTAAATATTAAAAATAGTAAAAATTTAAATAATCTTTTACAATTATTTTAATAAAATCTTAATCAGAAATTTCAATTAGTTAAAACAACAGATTTTTTTTTAAACTATAAAACAATGTTTTATTAAACATTAATTAATATTAATTTAATCAGATGATTTAAACTTCTACAATTTTAAAATTCAATAGTCATAAGCTTTCGCATGTTTTCACCGCAGTTTTCAAGAAAACTGACTTGACAATTACCTCTCTAATTATAAATTCACCTAAAAAATTCATATATTTGCAGGGTTGGCAAAAACCCGGGTTTTTTTAAAAAAACCCGGCCCAGTGGGTTTTTTTGGGTTTTATTGGGTAAATTTGGGTTTTTTTGGGTTTAATTTTTATTTTGTCTCTGTAAAAAAATTTTTTGTGTCTTTGTTTAATGATATTGAAAATTAGTTTTTTTCTACTTTAACTTTATTTAAAATATATTTTATATATTGTTGTTTAATTATTTATAACAAGAACTTTTCAAATTATTTTGAAAAAGATTTTTAAATATAATTTAAAAATGTAATAGAAAAAAAAAAAAATTTCACGCTTAATCTATATGTATTGATTTATTTTAAATTTAAAAGTATTAATCTATATAATTAAAAATGTCAATGAGAAAATGTGAAAAAGAAGGCTTGAGAATGGGAGGTAGTAACTGAAGTTTCAATTAAACTTTAAACTTAAAATTCAAATGAACAAACTTGTTCCTCTGCGCAGCGGCCTTGTTTATAAAGATTCATGTTTAGGAGTTGAAGAGTTTTTTTTTTTTTTAATTAATTCACTTCCTCAAAGCTTAAGGCCACTACAGGCGAGGAGGCTACTTATTTGTGGTTATAACCCTCTCTCAACTCTATAACTCCGAAACACGAACCTTGACGAATAAGGCCGCTGCGCGGAGAAAGGAGTTGAGCGCGGTACTGCCAGGGACGTGGTGGGGATCGAACTTGGAACCTCTCACTTATGAAGTGAGCGCTCTACCACAACACCACTACCGCAAAAGAGTTGAGAGAAGGTTGTAACCACAATAAGGTAGCCTCCTCGACTGTTGTGTTGGCTTTTCTGGTCACTACTACTCATTTAAATTCAACTTGGGAGGTGAATAACATAAAGTAATAAAAATCTCAATCGATAAAAATATTTGAATAAAAATTGTAATAATGTATTTCCAAATGATTCAAATAATAGTAAACCTGCTCTGATAGCTGTTATTGTTGGTTATAATAGTTAATAATAATAGTTAATAATAATTAAGTTAATAATAATAGTTAATAATTATTTTAGTAAATAATATTATAGTTATAATGTTAAAGTTGGTTATAATAGTTCATAAACTTATTAAATATCTTTAAAAAAACCCAACAAAACCCAGATTTTCCAGGGTTTTATTGGGTTTTTTTAGGCGGGTTTTTTTGGGTTTTATCGGGCGGGGTTTTTTGGGCGGGTTTTTTAATGCCAACCCTGTATATTTGCACTTCTATTTGTTTTTTTTTTTGGAAAACAAATAGAAATGCAAATATATGAATGTAAACGTGTTAAAATTTTATTACACATTTTATTCACAAGAGCCTCAAAAATGCTTACTTCACAAATTTTATTTCTGAAAAAAAAACCTTTTCTTAAAATTTTCAAATTTTTAAATAGTAAAAAATTATGGAATCTATTATTTTATTTATATTAAAAAGTTTCATTGTTAATAAATACTATTAAATTGCAAAATTTTGGAGATGCTGTTTTTTCACAGATATGTGCAGATATATATATATATATATATATATATATATATATATATATATATATATATATATATATATATATATATATATATATATATATATAACTATATAGAATAAAAAAATAATATTAAAAATAAATAATTACTATAAATAAATTTAGTTATAAATCTTGAATATATATGTATGTATGTATATATATATATATATATATATATATATATATATATATATATATATATATATATATATATATATATATATATACACACATATATATTCAAGATTTATAACTAAATTTATTTATAGTAATTATTTATTTTTAATATTATTTTTTTATTCTATATAATTATTATATATATTTATAAATAAGTATACTTAAATAATTAGAATTATGTATATTTAAATAATTAAATTTATTTAAAAAAAAACTGATTATATTAGAAATATGTTCTTGGGTAGATGAAGCACTTTAGATGTGGTGAAGATAGCTCCCCTAGGAAATAGAAAACTTTTAAATAAAACCCCACATTAGTTTAGCGAATGTAGAGGAAACTTGTTACCCAAAATGTTAACCTTCCTAGAGAAGGTGCCACAATAAAATATTTAGTTTTTGGAACTGTGTAAAATAGATTCACACTAGGATCTGTTACACAGTCAACAAAAGTTGCACCTATTGTAAATTGTTAGCCTTAGGTGAGCCACTGGTCAGAAATAAATCATTCGTCAGTGTCAAGTATGTTACAGCAACCAGGGTTGATCCTCATACCAGTTGACCATCCCGTAATGTAACTAAAGTAGAGTCAGTGTGACTAGGGTTTTGGGAAATAAAGATTGGGTTAGTCAAGTGGATTCTATGCAAAGATAAGTAAATGCTGAAGTGGCAGAAAGGAGTGGCCAAAAAATAAAAAAAGACCAAGAGAGATAAAATAATTAGACATATGTCTAACTATTTTATGTCTAACCTAGAAATATGCTTTTCAAATGTAATGGGATTGTCGGTCTGTAATATATTGCTTTCAAAAAAGGATTAAATTAGTTAACACAATTTTTTGTTTGTCTCTGAGCTGCAGAAAATAATAGAAGAGATTTGTGAACACAGCTGAGTTTAGCCAAGGATAAGAAACAGAGAAAAGAAACATGAAAAATACTATGGGTAAATAAAATAGTTCTTATTTTGGGTCTTTTGCGTGAAGTACATGAGTGTAACTATGATTTAGAAAAGCCTAATAAGTTACTTTAGATGAATGAGCTAAAATGCATATTAGCAGCAGACCTGAAGCTTGTCTGTTTACTGGGAATTTCTACTACCCGAAGCTTGATTTGTTTACTTGGAATTTCTGTAAGTTAAACATTAACTATTTTCTTTACTTGTGAAGTAATAATTTACTTTTAAAAAACTTTTAAAAGTAACTGAAAATAAAATCTTTGTTAGCACAGAAATTAAAAATTGAGTAAAGATAAAGTAATCATTTTTAGAAGAAAATTCAAGCAAGAGCAGAAACCAGGTCAGAAAGAAATGTGCAAAGTATCCCAAATTTTTTTTTTTAATGCTTTCTAAAAGTACCTGATAAGTATGAAGGAGATAAGTATGAAGGAGTTCTCAGAAACACAAAGAATACAGACAATGGATTTTTTTTTTATAAAATGCAGAAAAGGTCTGAGAAGAAGACTTATGTAATGCTTGGCTAAGCAAAAAGCAAAACAAGGTGTTTGCAAACCTCAATTAAATAAAAAGTAATTTGATGAGATGCAATTTTAGAGGACAAAAGAATGCAGTGTTCAGAGTTGTAAAACAATTGGTTAATAAAAACAAGAAGTTGGAGAAGGCTGTACTAAAAGAACTAGATGAAAAAATATTTACAAATGTAATTGAGGTAAAACAAAGCGCGATGAAGGCATTTTAAAATATTGCTAAATGAAGAGTTTAATTCAAATAAAAATATTTATCTTCAGAAAAAAAAGTTGGTGAAAATAAATAAGCTGTAGTAAACTAAAATCAGTTTCATTTCTGAAGGCAATAGGCTCAAGCAGGGCTCAGTTTCATTTCTGAAGGCAATAGGCTCAAGCAGGGCTCAGTTTCATTTCTGAAAGCAATAGGCTCAAGCAGGGCTCAGTTTCATTTCTGAAGGCAATAGGCTCAAGCAGGGCTCAGTTTCATTTCTGAAGGCAATGGGCTCAAGCAGGGCTCCAGATTCTTGTTGCCTAAAATGTTCGTGTTTAGTGTCAGATATTGGTTTTCATCTTTGCATTGTTTTTCATCTTTATGCATAATTGCATTGCAACTGTGTATAAAGATGAAATCCTAAATAAAAGAAATATTGGACAGTATATATTTATAATGGACGCAGAGACTTACTAGAATGTAGTTCATACTAATACATCAAGGAATAAATTTAATGTAATGAGGATTTTTAAAAAGAATTATTGCTAACAGAATAATTAGTGCATTTATTGAGCAGTTTGGTATCAAGATGAGTTTGTTTACTATAAAACTGGATATTCCAGCGGGATTCTGCACCATCTCATCAAACCAAATCAAAGAAAGACTGGTGTAAGACTAATTTTCCTGATTTCATCTCAGCTCAAGAATGACCATCATATTCTTGTGATTTCAACTGATTGGATTATAGTGTTTGGTCAATTTTGGAGGCAAGGGCTTGTACAAAACCCCACAAAAGTTTGGAGGCTCTTAAACTTTTGTGGGGTTTTGCACAAGCCCTCGCTCAACAAATGCACTTATTGTTCTGTTAGCAATAATTCATTTTAAAAATTCTTATAACCCAGCAGAGGTACAGCCTATTATGAAAAAATTTAGCAAGTGTTTGAAGCTCTGTATCAAAAACAAAGCTGGCCACTTCGAACAAAATTGGCTTTTTTTATAATTTTGAATATTTTTATTTATAAATACAGTGAATTTTCCTCACCAGTAAAAAGTTTCATAATTTATTTCAACTGTTTACGCTATTTTCTATGCCTGCAAAGTGTATGTAACTTATTATATTTTTCAAAAAAAGTGATATTTTAATAGGGTGCTGCAAGTGTTAAACTAACTTTTAAAACATAGTTTTAATTTTTTCTACAAGTGGTTGCTCTACACAAAAGTAGAAAAAAATTGGTTCTGCCTGTCTATGGGTATTGAATTGCAGCAAATAAGAGTTTCTAAAAATTTTCTTATTATTGTATTTATAGCAACTTTAGTGTACAATAATG